TGAGCCGAGCCAAAGGAACCGGTTCTCTAAAAAGAGCCGGAATTCCCATCACTATTCCTCACTCTCTTCACTGAGCTCCTCACTCTCTTCAGTGAGTTCCTCACACTCTTCGGTATTGTTTTTTGTCCATGAAGTCATGTGATTACGTGATGAGGTGATGCAAATCCTTATCTTATTTTTTATTTTTAATTTTTTTTGCAACTGAACAAACACATCGGGGCAGCACTACATTCAAGTTAGTTCTAAGTTGGATATTTTACATTCAGTCATTCACTTCAGGTCCAGCGACGTCTTTGGTTTCAGCCAGTGTTGGCTCATCACAGCACTCGCTCCAGAGGCAGTGTGGAGACGATAAATCAGCTTTTAGTTTAATCAAAGGTAGCCTTTATAACCAGGTTAGGCCATATTTTATTCCTACTGTTTTAAATGCATGTCCTATCAAATAAACTTATCTTTTAAAAATATGTTGTACTAATTCAGTGTTTGATCTTTAACCAGGATAGTTAAATTTGTACTATTATTTAAACCCTTACTAATTCTTCTTCCTTTGCTTTCTAATATTTTGTCATAATACACCGGCTTTGAGCTTAGAAGATAATTTATCTGTACATATATTAAGATTTGAAACAATATCTCTCACTACATAAAAATGTACTTTTACAATGTATTTGTTAATAGCAATAATCTTTATTTCAACCTTCTGGTTCTGTTATTTTACTGTATTTCATTACTTGAGAGTCTATAATGTCTTTATTTATCCATTGTGCAACATGAAGGAAATACAAACTTTCATTTTGTTAAAGAGCCTTGTGTTGTTTGTTTTGCAATGTTTTCTCAATATTCTATTTTAATATGTATTTCCCTCCCACATTAAAATGATAATTATGCTTTAAAACATGTGACAGAGGAGAAAAAGGAAAAACTAAATAACATTTTATTAAACAAAAACATTAAAAGTTTTTACATGCAGTGTTACATGCTACAGATCACTGTGGTGCTCCGGGGACAGCGTGAATCCTGACCATGCGACATTTCCTGTAAGACACCACGACTGCAGCCAGGAGACACACAGCAGCAGTGATGCCGAGCGCTGTGGCTACAGTGAGCTCTGTAGGAGGTCTAAGAGGTGACCAGGTCCCGTTCTGGGCTGAAGTTAAAGTCTCACATGGATCACTGACCAAAAAGCAGTAAAGTAAAGTTAGCATGAGGTGAAGGGTTCCTGTAAATCAAGAAGGTGGTTGTTTAAAATCATACTTGCCTTGTAATAGAAGCAGGAAATATATTGACATTGTCTGAGGGAGGAGCAACGTCAGGGTACAGACATAACCTCCTGTCAGGGCAGGAAACTAAACCCTGGTATCTTTTTATCTGAGGGGTTAAAAACAGCAAAGATAAAATAAATTGGGGATCTGTTTGGTGCTGCATGTAGAGTTTTTTAACATGAGTACATCATCGTCAAACTCTGAATGGTGGAGAAGGCAAAGTATGTTTCCTTGCAGCACTCTGGCTTTTATGAGCTTTATTCAGTTCATTTGGGCTTAACATTAGTAAGAAAACCCAAGCTGGGCTCCTTGTCTTACGGTTGGATATTATTAGCTAAGAAAAAAACACCTCAAATGCAGTGATTAGTATCCCTCAACTGATTTAAACCATACATATTTTCATATGTTGTTGTGTCTTGTTACCTGAATGGTGCCACCTGCTGGACAGTCTACCCATTCAGAGCCAGACACCTGGATTTGGTACCTGTTTGGTCCAGTACACCTGTGTCTGTAACATCGTCCCTCCACAGGGCTGCTGAACAAAAGAGACTGACTCTGAGAGAGGTAGAGAAAGAAGGAATTAATGTTAAAGTAGTAGAGTAGACTATCAAGCATTTTACACACACACACACACACACACACACACCTGTCTGGTCAGGTTGGAGAAGAAGCAACGGCTGTCAGAGCCAAAGATCTCCCCGCTCCAGTCTTCTTCAGCTGACTTCCTGCCATTTTCCTCTTTCCAACATTCACTCTGGAGGACAAAAGGAGGGGAAAAAAAGAGTGAAAAAGTGATAGCATGAAAAATAGGGTTGATCCCATATTGTTGCATTACATAACTGGAAATCTGTCCAGAGCAAGACTATGAAAAATGCACATTATGTTTTACTATTTTGATAAATAGGAAAAGAAGTCTTCTGGCAACTGAAATAAGAGTAAAAAATAATTTAATTTATTTTATAATCCTAATTATATTGTTTGGTGAAGATGATTTGCAAGAAAACTAGTTGAGTAAATGCAACTTACTCCATTCTGGAGAGGTTTATACACTCGACACCCCTCCAGGTATTGATCAGTCTGGCACTCCCCCTTGTGGAGGTGAAGATAATGACACCCAAATCCACTGAGAAGAAGGAATAATGCAAACATAACTGCTGGAAATGTGGTATGAAAAGAAAAAGGTGACTCACGTTCAACTTGAAAACATAACTTATAATAAGCAAACATAATTATAAATCTACCTGCCAGTGCAGAAAAAGGATGAGGACCTGTCCTGACAGTTTGACAGGGAACCAAACATGGCTCCTTCACCTACAAAAACACATTTATTTATGGAAATGTATATTTCTGGCATATGATCTTATAAATGAGTCCGGCTGTCTACTTTCCTGTTTGTAATAATGCTGATTTTACATGTATTTATGTATTTATATGATAACATTTAATATCTAACGCACTCTTTCCTTACCGTCTCCCCAGACTAGACTCTGTGCCTGGCTCAAGTTGACAGTGTACCAGCCTGTATCCTGTAACGCCGCCAAGGTGGCTGAGTCGATTCGGACTGTGGTCGAGTCCCCCAGCACCGCCGCCATGATGGACCCCTGCAGCACTCGGGCCTCCCAGTGGGAGGAGACTCTGCCCACAGCTACATCCTGAAGACAAAAAGTGTAAAACATGTAAGAAGAGCACATGATAAAACTGGAAAAGGGTTAAGTCGGAGCTGCACGGTACCAGGTTCTCTAGCGGCCCCCCTAACTCAGGGTCAGCAGATGCCAGGTGCTTCTGCAGGGCTGAAATGACGGATGGGGTATAAATCCTCATCTGGCCCGATTCATCAGAGTGAGTCACTTTGCCTCGAGGAAAACAGTCAGCTCCCACTGCAGCACAACTCAAAGAGAAACACATTAGAAGAATAATTTTCTAACCAGTATGATCTTTAATGTGAGTTACAATGTGTAATAAACTCAACCTGGAGAAGTAGAGGAACAGTCTCTCCAGGTGTGGAAGAGATGTTTAGAGAAACCAAGTGCATGAAACAGCTCATGGATCACAGTCTGAAAAAAAAAAAGATTCAACACATCAACACACAGTTAAAAACTCACAGAAAATATTATTTTATGATACAGTACGATACACTTTCACTTTATTGTCCCTGTAGGAACATTTGTCTTGGACCCAAATACTGTGCACATATAGCTGCCTCCATGTTGTAGTGAACCAAATAACAACCAGAGATGATAAGAACACCATTACCATTGCGCAATCTCTGCAGCCTCAAGTAACATTATTAATATTATTAATATTATTAATATTATTAATATTATTAATATTATTAATATTATTAAAGGTACCTGTACGGTAGCCTGGTGGTTGTATGTTGCTCCTGTCAGTCTGTCCCTGCAGATGACCACCACCCCAGCTACAGGTCGCCCGTGGGCGTCCGTCTGGCAGTGGACAGCGTAGGCCAACACATTGGGCTGAGGGGTGAACAGGATGTAAGGAGGAAGGTAGAAACAGCAGAGAATGACAGCTGCACACAGTTTTCATGAGCCCAGAGAAGAAACATTTGATTCAAAGCTAATGAAGGAGAATGTATTAATTCATTCATTCATATCATCACTGAATTAAAGTTTGCATCTTGGTCTTGTAGAAATCTGATGTTGGTAAATGTCTCCAATGTACATACAGTGATGTATTTTTATGTTTTAACGCAGCAATATTCTTTATGTGTGTCTGTTGCTGCTGTTTTGTAAGCAAATAAAAAACACAATGCTTCCTAAAATGAATATACAAGGCAAAAGATGTCATAATGCTGTTAAATACAGTCTGATAAGTTATCTCTTGGATTTGGGGGCACAAAGATCAAAACAGTGAGTGAAGTTAAAAAATTAAAAAACAATAAAGTAGTTTCCCACTGTTGGCTTTTTGTAACACACTTCGTACATTTTGAAGTGCTACATACACACTTCATTAATTATTGAACTTCTTAGATGTGTTTTAATATCAAAGATTTTCAGTGGGTCTTTACTTCGGATTTACACTTGTCAGTGGCCTGTATGTGGAGGTACATCAGGAAGTCGGTGTCGGGGAGTCCAGCGCCGTCAGGGCGGAGCTCAGTCCTGCGAGGTGAATCCGCCTCAGTGTAAATGTCACATCCAGCCAGATGATCATCTGGGATCTGTTGATAACGGGGATGTGATTTATTTGCTACTGGATTTTAAGCTCTTTATGTGTACAGGTACATGCTATAAACCCAGCTTACCACAGGAATACACATAGTGTTACACTCCGAGTAACAAAATCAAAGTCTGATACTCACTGTCACATCCAGACAGGTCTCAGATCTGTAGTTACTGTTGGCTCGACCACACCTGAAGGAAAAAACTTTTTAGATTCATTCACAACAACTTAACCTACTATGCAGTCTAAATGTATTAAAGCAAACGTTTTGTGCTGATGTTTAAACTTTCATATTGTAACATAAATCTGTTCCTTTCGATAATCTGAATTTATTTTATTTTTAAACCTGTTTTAAATTATAATTTTAAGAAAACTTTTTTAAGAAAACACTACATCTCGCCAAAGGAGTGTGTTTGAATGATTGGAGCTGTACACACACACACACACTGTATACACACCGGTTGTAGTTGGCAGTACTTGAATTCCTCCAGAGAAACTTGCAGTATTTGTTGATGTCTCTGCTGAGCAGCAACGGAACCGGTACTCTGTTCACTACTGAAAGGTCAACAGTTAATCATAGGAGGTGTTTGTTTGTGTGTGTGTG